CGAGTGGCCGCCCAAGAAGAAGCACCGTCGGCGGCCGTCGAAGAAGAAGCGGCGCTGGAAGCCCTACTCGAAGCTGAGCTGGGAGGAGAAGCAGCAGTTCGACGAGCGGCAGAGCCTGCGCGCCTCGCGCCTCCGCGCCGAGATGTTCGCCAAGGGGCAGCCCGTGGCGCCCTACAACACCACGCAGTTCCTCATGGAGGACCACGACCAGGAGGAGCCCGACCTCAAGACCGGGCTGTACCCGCGGCGCGCCGCCGCCAAGCCGGCCGAGACGAGCGACGAGGACTTCCTGGAGGAGGCGGCCGACGAGGACGGCGGCAGCGACGGCATGGGGGGCGACGGCAGCGAGTTCCTGCAGCGGGACTTCTCGGAGACCTACGAGCGGTACCACGTGGAGAGCCTGCAGAACATGAGCAAGCAGGAGCTCGTCAAGGAGTACCTGGAGCTCGAGAAGTGCCTGTCGCGCATGGAGGACGAGAACAACCGGCTGCGCATGGAGAGCAAGAAGTGCGGGGGGGAGGCGGCGCGGCTGCGGCAGCTCGAGCTCGAGGTGGACAGGTTGCGGGCCGAGAACCTGCGGCTGCTGCAGGAGAAGGAGCCGCCGCCGCCGGCCGAGTGACAGCGCGGGGCGGGCGGGCGCGCGGGGGGCGCGTTCTACCGGGGGGTGGAGCGGGGGTCCCCGCGGCCGAGGGGCGCGGGCCCCGGCCCCCGCACTGCTGCCGCTTGCGTTCCTTTCCTTTCCATTTTTTAGGTGGCTTTGGGGGCTGGGGGAGGGCTTATGTATAAGTGAACTTGGGTTTTGTTTTGTTTTTGTTGTTTTTGCTTTTTTTTTTTTTTGCCTTTTTTCCCCCCTTTTATTTTGTTGTGTTTAAACCAAAAACAAACCTGAAAAAAAAAAACCTTCCCCAGGAAACCTGTAAATTGGCCCAAAAATGACTATAAAGATTACAGAGGTCTAATAAATGTAACTACTTGTAGCGGTAACGGCTCCGGTGTGGTGTGTGCCGCGCGGGCCGGTGTGCGGCGGCCCCCGGGCCGGGGGTGCCCCGGGGCAGCGGGCGCTGCCTGACCCGCGGGGGCTGCAGGCTCCGTTAACCTTCCCCGGCTGCGGTCCCCTCGGGGGGGTGGCACTGCGGCGAGGAGCCCCCAGAGAGTCGGGGCCGGGGGGCAGAGGGGGCGYTTCCCCCAGCAGGGCCGGTGCTGCTGGGGGCCATCCCTGTGTCCCCCTACCTCGCTGTCCCCCCGGCCCCGCTGGGGCTGCGCCCGGGGGCAGCKGAGGTGGAGCCCGAGGGGGATCCAGAGGCTGCTCTGATCCCGCACGGACACGGGGTGAAGCAGCGGCACAAAACACTTCCTTGGCCCGAACCCAGCAGCGTAAGAGACCTCCACGGGGGGCAGGGGTCCCTCCCCCGCGGCCCGGGCGGGCGCAGGGGTTGGGGCCGCGGCCCAGGGCCTGTGATTTCAAGGTGGTTCTGATTCTTTTTTTTTTTCAGGGAAATTGGCAGCGTTTCTGCTCCRGGGCATGTGCTGACATGGAGCTGCCCGGCTGGGCGAAGGGAGGGTCCCTGGGGAGGGCACTCGCCCTGGAGCCTCCTGGGTGCCGCTTCCCCCTCGCCTCTGCCACGATCCCGGTACCAACCTGGTGCCGCTGCCTGCCTGGTGCAGCCCGGCCCTGCAGGGACCAACCCAGCTCCGTGTCCTGGGGCTGGGAGCCGCGGCGGGCGGTACCGGCACCGCTTGAGGGGCCTGCGCCAAGGCACCGTCCAGTTAACGCGGCAGCCGGACACAACAACGGGTGTGCGGCGAAGGCCGCGGCGAGGCTGCCTGCAAGCAAAGCGACCTCCCTCTCAGAAGGGAACAGAGCTTTGTTGTGGGCTTCCCGCCACTGCTCTGACAGCTGTACCGTAACAACCCCCCAAAGCCCCGCTGCCCTCGTGCCCTGCGCCYGGGCTCTGCTCAGCGGCAGCCGGCTGAGCCAAACGCAGGGCTGCTCCTGACCGCGCGTTCCCGAGGCGCTCGCTGCGGCCCTGCGGCGCCGGGCTGGCCCAAAGGGGCCTGGGGAGCTCCCCGAGGACCCGAGGCTGCCGCTGAGCCCCGCGCAGCTCGGTGCACTAACCAAACCCACTGCAGGGGCGGCGAGCGGCCCCTTGGGAGCCCACGGCCGCGGCCCCGCACCAGGGCCCTCCCCGCGCGGCCGCTCCGCTGCCCCCGGCTGCCCGAGCCGCCCGCCCCGCGCGGGCGCCACGGCCGCACCAGGGCTGCGTCCCCGGCGGCACCGACCCCGGCTGTGCGGGAGCGKCGCTTGGGCCTCCCCAATCAGCCCCACACGGATCTAGGGAGCGGCAACAGGAACAGCCCCCGCAGGACGCGGCCCCTCGCTGCTCCGGCCCGGCCACACCGGCTGGATGAACGGATGCGGCGCCGCTCGGGCGGCTCTGGAAATAGGGGCTGGTGTTCGAGGTGGCTGGTGGCCGAGCCGGGCAGCCCCTCGGCGTCCCGCCGGCAGTGCCGCAGCTCCGAGGGCGGCAGCCACCCTGCCCAGCGACGGTTACACGGCGGTGTCGAGCGGCGGCCGCAGCCCGGCCCGGCACCTGCCGCCGCCTCCCCCTGCTCCGCGGCGCGCGGGCCGGGAGCGAAGATCCCGCGCGGCCGTTTCCTCCAGGCCTCCTTCCTCATCCGCGGCGTTGGCCACGTTCCGCCCGCTCGGAGCAGTGGGGCAGGGCGGTGCGAGCGGCTGCTCCGGCACCAGGGCCGCTGCTCCCGCCGCGTCCGCAGCCCAGACCGGCGGGATCTGCCCTGCTCCACCACGAGCGACGCAGGGGACGCGACGCGGCCCTGCCGGCCTCAGCCTGGGCCAGCTCTCTGACCGGGCTGCGCGGCGACACGAGCGCGGCCGCGCTGGGTACCCGGCAGCTGCGCTCTGTCCCATTCGGGAAGCAATTCTGCTTTGGTTTAAGAGGAAAAGCTCCCGCAGAGTTCAGTGGACACAGGGCAGGGCCCTTTGCAGGCCCCGCCACAGGGACACCACTCCGAGCGTCCCCGGGAAGCAGTGCCAGGTCCGCCGGCAGCACCAAGACCTCAGACAAGGCCTTGTGTTCCCCTTTCTTGCTCCCAACCCCAAACCCAGCAAGGTCCAAAATCCCAGCGGAGCAGCTGGGTACAAAGGAAGCGGCTCTGGCTAAATGCACCTTTTAGCTCGGCAAAAATCAACTTCAAATTAGACCTCCAGCTACTCAGTGTACAGGGAGATACCAAGTGCCCCGCAGCTCTGCAGCTCGGGAGCCCCGGGACTTCCACAGGTCTCCAGGGCTCASGGAGCAGCAAAGCTGCCCGGATGAGGCCCAACATCTGCTGGCAGAGCCACTTCAGCAAAGCACGGGCTTCGAAAAAACAGGCTGCGCATAGAGCAAAGCACCGTTGTGCAGCCGCACGCCCTCCCGTCCGGGAGCGCAAGCAGAAGAGCAGCACCCGCGAGCGCTGCCGGTTCTGCGCGTGAAGGCGGCCGCGGCAGCCGGGGCCGGGCCGGCGCCATCTGCGTCCCGCAGCGGAAGGAAACGCGGCCGAGCGGGCGCTGGGTGCCGGGGGCGCCCGTGGGGCTGGCCCCACACCCGCCGGGCCAGCGGGTCCTGACGCCCCCGAGCTCCCCGGCTCCGCGCCCGGCTCCGTTCGCTCCCGGGCRGCCCCTCAACGGGCGCTTTTGTGAGCCAGGCTCTGCGGGGAGGCCGCGCTCCCCACGAACCAGGGGCGCCTCCCGCGGGGCCGGGCCGCGCTCGGCCCGAGGGGGCTGCACAAAGGGGTAAATTTGCGGGATTCAGGGTTTTTTCTTTTTTTTTCAGCGGGGAGGGGCACGGTGCAACCAGCAGCGGGCACCGAAGCAGCCTCGGCCCGGGCCTGCAGAGAG